AGCTCCCGCTCCCATGCTCCATGCTCCCATGCTCACGTGCTCCCATGCTCCCTCCCATGCTCCCATGCTCCATGCTCCATGCTCCCATGCTCCCATGCTCCCATGCTCCCATGCTCCCGTGCTCCCATGCTCCCATGCTCCCATGCTCCCGTGCTCCCGTGCTCCCATGCTCCCATGCTCCCATGCTCTTAGCTCTTATGCTCCCATGCTCCCGTGCTCCCATGCTCCCATGCTCCCATGCTCCCATGCTCCCATGCTCCCGTGCCCATGCTCCCATGCTCCCATGCTCCCATGCTCCCATGCTCCCATGCTCCCGTGCTCCCGTGCTCCCATGCTCCCGTGCTCCCGTGCTCCCGTGCTCCCATGCTCCCATGCTCCCATGCTCCCATGCTCCCATGCTCCCATGCTCCCGTGCTCCCATGCTCCCGTGCTCCCGTGCTCCCATGCTCCCATGCTCTTATGCTCCCATGCTCCCATGCTCCCATGCTCCCATGCTCCCATGCTCCCATGCTCCCATGCTCCCATGCTCCCTTGCCCCCATGCTCCCGTGCTCCCATGCTCCCATGCTCCTGTGCTCCCATGCTCCCATGCTCCCGTGCTCCCATGCTCCCATGCTCCCATGCTCCCCTGCTCCCATGCTCCCATGTTCCCGTGCTCCCATGCTCCCATGCTCCCATGCTCCCATGCTCCCATGCTCCCGTGCTCCCATGCTCCCATGCTCGTGCTCCCGTGCTCCCCTGCTCCCATGCTCCCGTGCTCCCGTGCTCCCGTGCTCCCGTGCTCCATGCTCCCATGCTCCCATGCTCCCATGCTCCCATGCTCCCATGCTCCCATGCTCCCATGCTCCCGTGCTCCCATGCTCCCATGCTCCCATGCTCCCATGCTCCCATGCTCCCATGCTCCCGTGCTCCCGTGCTCCCATGCTCCCGTGCTCCCGTGCTCCCGTGCTCCCGTGCTCCCATGCTCCCGTGCTGCCATGCTCCGGCTCCCGTGCTCCCGTGCTCTCCCGTGCTCCCGTGCTCCCGTGCTCCCATGCTCCCATGCTCCCATGCTCCCATGCTCCCATGCTCCCATGCTCCCATGCTCCCATGCTCCCGTGCTCCCGTGCTCCCATGCTCCCATGCTCCCATGCTCCCGTGCTCCCATGCTCCCATGCTCCCATGCTCCCGTGCTCCCATGCTCCCGTGCTCCCGTGCTCCCGTGCTCCCGTGCTCCCATGCTCCCATGCTCCCATGCTCCCCTGCTCCCATGCTCCCATGCTCCCATGCTCCCATGCTCCCGTGCTCCCGTGCTCCCGTGCTCCCATGCTCCCATGCTCCCATGCTCCCCTGCTCCCCTGCTCCCGTGCTCCCATGCTCCCATGCTCCCATGCTCCCGTCCTCCCGTGCTCCCGTGCTCCCGTGCTACCATGCTCCCATGCTCCCATGCTCCCATGCTCCCATGCTCCCATGCTCCCCTGCTCCCGTGCTCCCATGCTCCCATGCTCCCATGCTCCCATGCTCCCATGCTCCCATGCTCCCATGCTCCCATGCTCCCGTGCTCCCATGCTCCCATGCTCCCATGCTCCCATGCTCCCATGCTCCCATGCTCCCGTGCTCCCGTGCTCCCATGCTCCCGTGCTCCCGTGCTCCCGTGCTCCCGTGCTCCCACGCTCTCGTGCTCCCATGCTCCCATGCTCCCATGCTCCCATGCTCCCGTGCTCCCGTGCTCCCATGCTCCCATGCTCCCATGCTCCCATGCTCCCATGCTCCCATGCTCCCATGCTCCCATGCTCCCATGCTCCCATGCTCCCGTGCTCCCATGCTCCCATGCTCCCATGCTCCCGTGCTCCCGTGCTCCCGTGCTCCCGTGCTCCCGTGCTCCCATGCTCCCATGCTCCCATGCTCCCATGCTCCCATGCTCCCATGCTCCCCTGCTCCCGTGCTCCCATGCTCCCATGCTCCCATGCTCCCATGCTCCCATGCTCCCATGCTCCCATGCTCCCATGCTCCCGTGCTCCCATGCTCCCATGCTCCCATGCTCCCATGCTCCCATGCTCCCATGCTCCCGTGCTCCCGTGCTCCCATGCTCCCGTGCTCCCGTGCTCCCGTGCTCCCGTGCTCCCACGCTCCCGTGCTCCCATGCTCCCATGCTCCCATGCTCCCATGCTCCCCTGCTCCCCTGCTCCCGTGCTCCCATGCTCCCATGCTCCCATGCTCCCGTCCTCCCGTGCTCCCGTGCTCCCGTGCTACCATGCTCCCATGCCCATGCTCCCATGCTCCCATGCTCCCATGCTCCCCTGCTCCCGTGCTCCCATGCTCCCATGCTCCCATGCTCCCATGCTCCCATGCTCCCATGCTCCCATGCTCCCATGCTCCCGTGCTCCCATGCTCCCATGCTCCCATGCTCCCATGCTCCCATGCTCCATGCTCCCGTGCTTCCCATGCCCTCCTCCCGTGCTCCCGTGCTCCCGTGCTCCCGTGCTCCCACGCTCTCGTGCTCCCATGCTCCCATGCTCCCATGCTCCCATGCTCCCGTGCTCCCGTGCTCCCATGCTCCCATGCTCCCATGCTCCCATGCTCCCATGCTCCCATGCTCCCATGCTCCCATGCTCCCATGCTCCCATGCTCCCATGCTCCCGTGCTCCCATGCTCCATGCTCCCGTGCTCCCGTGCCTCCCGCTCCCGTGCTCCCGTGCTCCCATGCTCCCATGCTCCCATGCTCCCATGCTTCCATGCTCCCATGCTCCCATGCTCCCATGCTCCCATGCTCCCATGCTCCCATGCTCCCTTGCTCCCATGCTCCCGTTCTCCCATGCTCTTATGCTCCCATGCTCCCATGCTCCCGTGCTCCCATGCTCCCGTGCTCCCGTGCTCCCATGCTCCCATGCTCCCATGCTCCCATGCTCCCGTGCTCCCGTGCTCCCGTGCTCCCGTGCTCCCGTGCTCCCGTGCTCCCATGCTCCCATGCTCCCATGCTCCCATGCTCCCATGCTCCCATGCTCCCATGCTCCCATGCTCCCATGCTCCCGTGCTCCCCTGCTCCCGTGCTCCCGTGCTCCCATGCTCCCATGCTCCCATGCTCCCGTGCTCCCGTGCTCCCGTGCTCCCATGCTCGCATGCTCCCATGCTCCCATGCTCCCATGCTCCCATGCTCCCATGCTCCCATGCTCCCGTGCTCCCGTGCTCCCGTGCTCCCGTGCTCCCGTGCTCCCGTGCTCCCATGCTCCCGTGCTCCCGTGCTCCCGTGCTCCCGTGCTCCCGTGCTCCCGTGCTCCCGTGCTCCCATGCTCCCATGCTCCCATGCTCCCGTGCTCCCGTGCTCCCATGCTCCCATGCTCCCATGCTCCCATGCTCCCATGCTCCCGTGCTCCCATGCTCCCATGCTCCCATGCTCCCCTGCTCCCATGCTCCCATGCTCCCATGCTCCCATGCTCCCGTGCTCCCGTGCTCCCGTGCTCCCGTGCTCCCGTGCTCCCGTGCTCCCGTGCTCCCGTGCTCCCGTGCTCCCATGCTCCCATGCTCCCATGCTCCCATGCTCCCATGCTCCCGTGCTCCCATGCTCCCATGCTCCCATGCTCCCATGCTCCCATGCTCCCATGCTCCCATGCTCCCATGCTCCCATGCTGCCATGCTGCCATGCTCTCGTGCTCCCGTGCTCCCGTGCTCCCATGCTCCCATGCTCCCATGCTCCCATGCTCCGTGCTCCGTGCTCCCATGCTCCCATGCTCCCATGCTCCCATGCTCCCGTGCTCCCATGCTCTTATGCTCCCATGCTCCCATGCTCCCATGCTCCCATGCTCCCATGCTCCCATGCTCCCATGCTCCCATGCTCCCATGCTCCCGTGCTCCCGTGCTCCCATGCTCCCGTGCTCCCTTGCTCCCATGCTCCCGTGCTCCCATGCTCCCGTGCTCCCATGCTCCCGTGCTCCCGTGCTCCCATGCTCCCATGCTCCCATGCTCCCATGCTCCCATGCTCCCGTGCGCCCATGCTCCCATGCTACCATGCTCCCATGCTCCCATGCTCCCATGCTCCCATGCTCCCGTGCTCCCGTGCTCCCGTGCTCCCATGCTCTTATGCTCCCATGCTCCTATGCTCCCGTGCTCCCATGCTCCCATGCTCCCATGCTCCCATGCTCCCATGCTCCCGTGCTCCCATGCTCCCGTGCTCCCGTGCTCCCGTGCTCCCATGCTCCCATGCTCCCATGCTCCCATGCTCCCGTACTCCCATGCTCCCATGCTCCCATGCTCCCGTGCTCCCATGCGCCCGTGCTCCCGTGCTCCCATGCTCCCATGCTCCCATGCTCCCATGCTCCTATGCTCCCGTGCTCCCGTGCTCCCATGCTCCCATGCTCCCATGCTCCCGTGCTCCCATGCTCCCATGCTCCCATGCTCCCATGCTCCCATGCTCCTGTGCTCCCATGCTCCCATGCTCCCATGCTCCCGTGCTCCCATCCTCCCATGCTCCCATGCTCCCATGCTCCCATGCTCCCATGCTCCCATGCTCCCATGCTCCCATGCTCCCATGCTCCCGTGCTCCCATGCTCCCATGCTCCCATGCTCCCGTGCTCCCGTGCTCCCATGCTCCCATGCTCCCATGCTCTTATGCTCTTATGCTCCCATGCTCCCGTCCTCCCATGCTCCCATGCTCTTATGCTCCCATGCTCCCATGCTCCCGTGCTCCCATGCTCCCATGCTCCCATGCTCCCATGCTCCCATGCTCCCATGCTCCCGTGCTCCCGTGCTCCCATGCTCCCGTGCTCCCGTGCTCCCGTGCTCCCATGCTCCCATGCTCCCATGCTCCCATGCTCCCATGCTCCCATGATCCCGTGCTCCCATGCTCCCGTGCTCCCGTGCTCCCATGCTCCCATGCTCTTATGCTTCCCATGCTCCCATGCTCCCATGCTCCCATGCTCCCATGCTCCCATCCCATGCTCCCATGCTCCCCATGCTCCCTTGCCCCCATGCTCCCCGTGCTCCCATGCTCCCATGCTCCTGTGCTCCCATGCTCCCATGCTCCCGTGCTCCCATGCTCCCATGCTCCCATGCTCCCCTGCTCCCATGCTCCCATGTTCCCGTGCTCCCATGCTCCCATGCTCCCATGCTCCCATGCTCCCATGCTCCCGTGCTCCCATGCTCCCATGCTCCCGTGCTCCCGTGCTCCCCTGCTCCCATGCTCCCGTGCTCCCGTGCTCCCGTGCTCCCGTGCTCCCATGCTCCCGTGCTCCCATGCTCCCGTGCTCCCGTGCTCCCATGCTCCCGTGCTCCCATGCTCCCATGCTCTTATGCTCCCATGCTCCCATGCTCCCGTGCTCCCGTGCTCCCATGGTCCCATGGTCCCATGGTCCCATGGTCCCATGGTCCCATGCTCCCGTGCTCCCGTGCTCCCATGCTCCCATGCTCCCATGCTCCCATGCTCCCATGCTCCCGTGCTCCCATGCTCCCATGCTCCCATGCTCCCATGCTCCCATGCTCCCATGCTCCCATGCTCCCATGCTCCCGTGCTCCCGTGCTCCCATGCTCCCATGCTCCCGTGCTCCCGTGCTCCCGTGCTCCCATGCTACCATGCTCCCATGCTCCCACGCTCCCAGGCTCCCGTGCTCCTGTGCTCCCATGCTCCCATGCTCCCGTGCTCCCGTGCTCCCGTGCTCCCATGCTCCCATGCTCCCATGCTCCCCTGCTCCCGTGCTCCCGTGCTCCCATGCTCCCGTGCTCCCATGCTCCCATGCTCCCCTGCTCCCCTGCTCCCGTGCTCCCGTGCTCCCATGCTCCCATGCTCCCATGCTCCCGTGCTCCCATGCTCCCGTGCTCCCGTGCTCCCATGCTCCCCTGCTCCTATGCTCCCATGCTCCAGTGCTCCAGTGCTCCCATGCTCCCATGCTCCCGTGCTCCCGTGCTCCCGTGCTCCCGTGCTCCCGTGCTCCCGTGCTCCCGTGCTCCCGTGCTCCCTTGCTCCCTTGCTCCCGTGCTCCCGTTCTCCCGTGCTCCCATGCTCCCATGCTCCCATGCTCCCATGCTCCCGTGCTCCCGTTCTTCCATGCTCCCATGCTCCCATGCTCCCCTGCTCCCATGCTCCCATGTTCCCGTGCTCCCATGCTCCCATGCTCCCATGCTCCCATGCTCCCATGCTCCCGTGCTCCCATGCTCCCGTGCTCCCATGCTCCCATGCTCCCATGCTCCCATGCTCCCGTGCTCCCATGCTCCCGTGCTCCCATGCTCCCATGCTCTTATGCTCCAATGCTCCCATGCTCCCGTTCTCCCATGCTCCCATGCTCCCATGCTCCCATGCTCCCATGCTCCCATGCTCCCGTGCTCCCGTGCTTCCATGCTTCCGTGCTCCCATGCTCCCGTGCTCCCATGCTCCCGTGCTCCCATGCTCCCATGCTCCCATGCTCCCATGCTCCCGTGCTCCCATGCTCCCATGCTCCCATGCTCCCATGCTCCCATGCTCCCCCGCTCCCATGCTCCCATGCTCCCATGCTCCCATGCTCCCATGCTCCCATGCTCCCATGCTCCCTTGCCCCCATGCTCCCGTGCTCCCATGCTCCCATGCTCCTATGCTCCCATGCTCCCATGCTCCCGTGCTCCCATGCTCCCATGCTCCCATGCTCCCCTGCTCCCATGCTCCCATGTTCCCGTGCTCCCATGCTCCCATGCTCCCATGCTCCCATGCTCCCATGCTCCCGTGCTCCCATGCTCCCGTGCTCCCATGCTCCCATGCTCTTATGCTCCAATGCTCCCATGCTCCCGTGCTCCCATGCTCCCATGCTCCCGTGCTCCCATGCTCCCGTGCTCCCATGCTTCCCATGCTCCCATGCTCCCATGCTCCCGTGCTCCCGTGCTCCATGCTCCCATGCTCCCATGCTCCCGTGCTCCCATGCTCCCGTGCTCCCGTGCTCCCATGCTCCCCATGCTCCCATGCTCCCATGCTCCCATGCTCCCGTGCTCCCGTGCTCCCATGCTCCCATGCTCCCATGCTCCCATGCTCCCGTGCTCCCATGCTGCCGTGCTCCCATGCTCCCATGCTCCCATGCTCCCATGCTCCCATGCTCCCGTGCTCCCATGCTCCCATGCTCCCATGCTCCCGTGCTCCCATCCTCCCATGCTCCCATGCTCCCATGCTCCCATGCTCCCATGCTCCCGTGCTCCCGTGCTCCCATGCTCCCATGCTCCCATGCTCCCGTGCTCCCATGCTGCCGTGCTCCCGTGCTCCCATGCTCCCATGCTCCCATGCTCCCATGCTCCCGTGCTCCCATGTGAAGGAACTAGCTTGGAAGAGAAAAGATTGAATTGAGTAGGGAGCCAAGAGGCTCTTTTTGTACAAAACAAGGAGCAAGGAAGAGTTGGAAGGGAAGCTCTCCTATTGGCCATAAAGTGGACCAATGGGGGAGGTTGCTTGTAGGGCAAGCAACCACAAAAGTGTGGTGCTCTCCTATTGGTCACAATGTGGACCAATGAGAGAGATTGCTTGGAAGGCAAGCAACCACAAAGTGTGGTGCTTGGTGATTGGTTGGTTCCTAGGACCAAAGACCATTTGGTTGGAATAGTGCCAACCAAATGTCTAGGACCAAATCCAATCTTGACCAACCCAAATGTGGGGTTGGTCAACCCAACCAACAACCCCCCAATAATTATAATGACTACACCTCCTAATCTAGGCATGCATGTTGTATAGATATATATTTTACAACACCATGCTCCCATGCTCCCATGCTCCCGTGCTCCCATCCTCCCATGCTCCCATGCTCCCATGCTCCCATGCTCCCATGCTCCCATGCTCCCATGCTCCCATGCTTCCGTGCTCCCATGCTCCCGTGCTCCCATGCTCCCGTGCTCCCATGCTCCCATGCTCCCATGCTCCCATGCTCCCGTGCTCCCATGCTCCCGTGCTCCCATGCTCCCATGCTCTTATGCTCCAATGCTCCCATGCTCCCGTGCTCCCATGCTCCCATGCTCCCATGCTCCCATGCTCCCATGCTCCCATGCTCCCATGCTCCCGTGCTCCCGTGCTCCCATGCTTCCGTGCTCCCATGCTCCCGTGCTCCCATGCTCCCATGCTCCCATGCTCCCATGCTCCCATGCTCCCATGCTCCCGTGCTCCCATGCTCCCATGCTCCCATGCTCCCATGCTCCCATGCTCCCATGCTCCCATGCTCCCATGCTCCCTTGCCCCCATGCTCCCGTGCTCCCATGCTCCCATGCTCCTATGCTCCCATGCTCCCATGCTCCCGTGCTCCCATGCTCCCATGCTCCCATGCTCCCGTGCTACCATGCTCCCATGCTCCCACGCTCCCCTGCTCCCGTGCTCCCGTGCTCCCATGCTCCCATGCTCCCGTGCTCCCGTGCTCCCATGCTCCCGTGCTCCCATGCTCCCATGCTCCCATGCTCCCATGCTCCCCTGCTCCCGTGCTCCCATGCTCCCATGCTCCCATGCTCCCCTGCTCCCGTGCTCCCATGCTGCCGTGCTCCCATGCTCCCGTGCTCCCATGCTCCCATGCTCCCATGCTCCCATGCTCCCGTGCTCCCGTGCTCCCATGCTCCCATGCTCCCATGCTCCCATGCTCCCGTGCTCCCATGCTCCCGTGCTCCCATGCTCCCATGCTCTTATGCTCCCATGCTCCCATGCTCCCGTGCTCCCATGCTCCCATGCTCCCATGCTCCCATGGTCCCATGCTCCCATGCTCCCGTGCTCCCATGCTCCCATGCTCCCATGCTCCCGTGCTCCCGTGCTCCCGTGCTCCCATGCTCCCATGCTCCCATGCTCCCATGCTCCCGTGCTCCCATGCTCCCATGCTCCCATGCTCCCGTGCTCCCATGCTCCCGTGCTCCCGTGCTCCCGTGCTCCCATGCTCCCATGCTCCCATGCTCCCATGCTCCCGTGCTCCCGTGCTCCCGTGCTCCCATGCTCCCATGCTCCCATGCTCCCGTGCTCCCATGCTCCCGTGCTCCAAAGCTCCCATGCTCCCATGCTCCCATGCTCCCGTGCTCCCATGCTCCCATGCTCCCATGCTCCCCTGCTCCCATGCTCCCATGTTCCCGTGCTCCCATGCTCCCATGCTCCCATGCTCCCATGCTCTCATGCTCCCGTTCTCCCGTTCTCCCGTGCTCCCGTGCTCCCATGCTCCCATGCTCCCATGCTCCCATGCTCCTGTGCTCCCGTGCTCCCATGCTCCCATGCTCCCATGCTCCCATGCTCCCGTGCTCCCATGCTCCCGTGCTCCCATGCTCCCATGCTCTTATGCTCCCATGCTCCCATGCTCCAGTGCTCTCATGCTCCCATGCTCCCATGCTCCCATGCTCTCGTGCTCCCGTGCTCCCATGCTCCCATGCTCCCATGCTCCCGTGCTCCCGTGCTCCCATGCTCCCGTGCTCCCATGCTCCCATGCTCTTATGCTCCCATGCTCCCGTGTTCCCGTGCTCCCGTGCTCCCATGCTCCCATGCTCCCATGCTCCCATGCTCCCGTGCTCCCGTGCTCCCATGCTCCCGTGCTCCCGTGCCCCCGTGCTCCCATGCTCCCGTGCTCCCATGCTCCCATGCTCCCATGCTCCCATGCTCCCATGCTCCCGTGCTCCCATGCTCCCATGCTCCCATGCTCCCATGCTCCCATGCTCCCATGCTCCCATGCTCCCGTGCTCCCATGCTCCCGTGCTCCCATGCTCCCATGCTCTTATGCTCCCATGCTCCCATGCTCCAGTGCTCCCATGCTCCCATGCTCCCATGCTCCCATGCTCCCATGCTCCCATGCTCCCGTGCTCCCGTGCTCCCGTGCTCCCATGCTCCCATGCTCCCATGCTCCCGTGCTCCCGTGCTCCCGTGCTCCCATGCTCCCATGCTCCCGTGCTCCCGTGCTCCCGTGCTCCCGTGCTCCCGTGCTCCCATGCTCCCATGCTCCCATGCTCCCATGCTCCCGTGCTCCCGTGCTCCCGAGCTCCCGTGCTCCCGTGCTCCCGTGCTCCCATGCTCCCATGCTCCCGTGCTCCCATGCTCCCATGCTCCCATGCTCCCGTGCTCCCATGCTCCCATGCTCCCATGCTCCCATGCTCCCATCCTCCCGTGCTCCCATCCTCCCATGCTCCCATGCTCCCATGCTCCCATGCTCCCATGCTCCCGTGCTCCCGTGCTCCCATGCTCCCATGCTCCCATGCTCCCGTGCTCCCATGCTGCCGTGCTCCCATGCTCCCATGCTCCCATGCTCCCATGCTCCCGTGCTCCCATGCTCCCATGCTCCCATGCTCCCGTGCTCCCATCCTCCCATGCTCCCATGCTCCCATGCTCCCATGCTCCCATGCTCCCATGCTCCCATGCTCCCGTGCTCCCATGCTCCCATGCTCCCATGCTCCCATGCTCCCGTGCTCCCGTGCTCCCATGCTCCCATGCTCCCATGCCCCCATGCTCCCGTGCTCCCATGCTCCCATGCTCCCATGCTCCCATGCTCTTATGCTCCCATGCTCCCATGCTCCCGTGCTCCCATGCTCCCATGCTCCCGTGCTCCCATGCTCCCGTGCTCCCGTGCTCCCATGCTCCCATGCTCCCATGCTCCCATGCTCCCATGCTCCCGTGCTCCCGTGCTCCCATGCTCCCATGCTCCCATGCTCCCGTGCTCCCATGCTCCCGTGCTCCCATGCTCCCATGCTCCCATGCTCCCATGCTCCCATGCTCCCGTGCTCCCATGCTCCCATGCTCCCATGCTCCCATGCTCCCATGCTCCCATGCTCCCATGCTCCCGTGCTCCCATGTTGCCATGCTCCCATGCTCCCGTGCTCCCGTGCTCCCGTGCTCCCATGCTCCCATGCTCCCGTGCTCCCGTGCTCCCGTGCTCCCGTGCTCCCATGCTCCCGTGCTCCCATGCTCCCATGCTCCCATGCTCCCATGCTCCCATGCTCCCATGCTCCCGTGCTCCCATGCTCCCATGTTCCCATGCTCCCATGCTACCATGCTCCCATGCTCCCATGCTCCCGTGCTCCCATGCTCCCGTGCTCCCATGCTCCCATGCTCTTATGCTCCCATGCTCCCATGCTCCCGTGCTCCCATGCTCCCATGCTCCCATGCTCCCGTGCTCCCATGCTCCCATGCCCCCGTGCCCCCGTGCTCCCGTGCTCCCATGCTCCCATGCTCCCATGCTCCCATGCTCCCATGCTCCCGTGCTCCCATGCTCCCATGCTCCCGTGCTCCCGTGCTCCCGTGCTCCCATGCTCCCGTGCTCCCGTGCCCCCGTGCTCCCGTGCTCCCGTGCTCCCATGCTCCCATGCTCCCATGCTCCCATGCTCCCATGCTCCCATGCTCCCATGCTCCCATGCTCCCATGCTCCCATGCTCCCATGCTCCCGTGCTCCCATGCTCCCGTGCTCCCATGCTCCCATGCTCTTATGCTCCCATGCTCCCATGCTCCAGTGCTCCCATGCTCCCATGCTCCCATGCTCCCATGCTCCCATGCTCCCGTGCTCCCGTGCTCCCGTGCTCCCATGCTCCCATGCTCCCATGCTCCCATGCTCCCGTGCTCCCGTGCTCCCATGCTCCCATGCTCCCATGCTCCCGTGCTCCCATGCTCCCGTGCTCCCATGCTCCCATGCTCCCATGCTCCCATGCTCCCATGCTCCCATGCTCCCGTGCTCCCGTGCTCCCATGCTCCCATGCTCCCATGCTCCCGTGCTCCCATGCTCCCGTGCTCCCATGCTCCCATGCTCCCATGCTCCCATGCTCCCATGTTCCCGTGCTCCCATGCTCCCATGCTCCCATGCTCCCGTGGTCCCATCCTCCCATGCTCCCATGCTCCCATGCTCCCATGCTCCCATGCTCCCATGCTCCCGTGCTCCCATGCTCCCATGCTCCCATGCTCCCATGCTCCCGTGCTCCCGTGCTCCCATGCTCCCATGCTCCCATGCTCCCATGCTCCCGTGCTCCCATGCTCCCATGCTCCCATGCTCCCATGCTCTTATGCTCCCATGCTCTTATGCTCCCGTGCTCCCATGCTCCCATGCTCCCGTGCTCCCATGCTCCCGTGCTCCCGTGCTCCCATGCTCCCATGCTCCCATGCTCCCATGCTCCCATGCTCCCGTGCTCCCGTGCTCCCATGCTCCCGTGCTCCCATGCTCCCGTGCTCCCATGCTCCCCTGCTCCCATGCTCCCATGCTCCCATGCTCCCATGCTCCCATGCTCCCATGCTCCCATGCTCCCATGGTCCCATGCTCCCGTGCTCCCATGCTCCCATGCTCCCATGCTCCCATGCTCCCATGCTCCCGTGCTCCCATGCTCCCATGCTCCCATGCTCCCATGCTCCCGTGCTCCCGTGCTCCCATGCTCCCATGCTCCCATGTTCCCATGCTCCCATGCTCCCGTGCTCCCGTGCTCCCATGCTCCCATGCTCTTATGCTCCCATGCTCCCGTGCTCCCGTGCTCCCATGCTCCCATGCTCCCATGCTCCCATGCTCCCATGCTCCCGTGCTCCCGTGCTCCCATGCTCCCGTGCTCCCATGGTCCCGTGCTCTTATGCTCCCATGCTCCCATGCTCCCATGCTCCCATGCTCCCATGCTCCCATGCTCCCATGCTCCCATGCTCCCATGGTCCCATGCTCCCGTGCTCCCATGCTCCCATGCTCCCATGCTCCCATGCTCCCATGCTCCCGTGCTCCCATGCTCCCATGCTCCCATGCTCCCATGCTCCCGTGCTCCCGTGCTCCCATGCTCCCATGCTCCCATGCTCCCATGCTCCCGTGCTCCCATGCTCCCGTGCTCCCATGCTCCCATGCTCCCATGCTCCCATGGTCCCATGCTCCCGTGCTCCCATGCTCCCATGCTCCCATGCTCCCGTGCTCCCGTGCTCCCGTGCTCCCGTGCTCCCGTGCTCCCGTGCTCCCATGCTCCCGTGCTCCCATGCTCCCATGCTCCCATGCTCCCATGCTCCCATGCTCCCATGCTCCCGTGCTCCCATGCTCCCATGCTCCCATGCTCTTATGCTCCCATGCTCCCATGCTCCCATGCTCCCGTGCTCCCATGCTCCCGTGCTCCCATGCTCCCATGCTCTTATGCTCCCATGCTCCCATGCTCCCATGCTCCCATGCTCCCGTGCTCCCATGCTCCCATGCTCCCATGCTCCCATGCTCCCATGCCCCCGTGCTCCCGTGCTCCCATGCTCCCATGCTCCCATGCTCCCATGCTCCCATGCTCCCGTGCTCCCATGCTCCCATGCTCCCATGCTCCCGTGCTCCCGTGCTCCCGTGCTCCCATGCTCCCGTGCTCCCGTGCTCCCATGCTCCCATGCTCCCATGCTCCCATGCTCCCGTGCTCCCATGCTCCCATGCTCCCGTGCTCCCGTGCTCCCGTGCTCCCGTGCTCCCGTGCTCCCGTGCTCCCATGCTCCCATGCTCCCATGCTCCCATGCTCCCGTGCTCCCATGCTCCCATGCTCCCATGCTCCCGTGCTCCCATGCTTCCATGCTCCCCTGCTCCCATGCTCCCATGCTCCCATGCTCCCATGCTCCCATGCTCCCGTGCTCCCATGCTCCCATGCTCCCATGCTCCCGTGCTCCCATGCTCCCATGCTCCCATGCTCCCATGCTCCCATGCTCCCATGCTCCCATGCTCCCATGCTCCCGTGCTCCCGTGCTCCCATGCTCCCATGCTCCCATGCTCCCATGCTCCCATGCTCCCGTGCTCCCATGCTCCCATGCTCCCATGCTCCCATGGTCCCATGCTCCCGTGCTCCTATGCTCCCATGCTCCCATGCTCCCGTGCTCCCATGCTCCCATGCTCCCATGCTCCCATGCTCCCATGCTCCCATGCTCCCATGCTCCCGTGCTCCCATGCTCCCATGCTCTCTGCTGGGGTGGGGTGGAGGGGATGGTGGGGACAATGGGGGGCTGGGGGGGAATGAAGTTGACAATGGGGGTGGGTGCGTGCGGTGGTGGCGTGCAGGTGGCTGTATGCGTGCATTGAGCAGCTCGTGTGCACACGACAAGCCCACGGACACACACAAGGCGAGCAGGGAGCAGGGGATGCGGGGCTCGCAGGGGGTGGTGGTGATGGTGGTGGGGGGAGCAGGAGGAAGGGGAAGATGCCATGCAGCACGGGGATGGGGGAAGTCTTGTTGAATGCTGAGGAGAATCCGCTTAGCCTGGTGGAGTGCTGCGGTGGTGAGGCGGCGTGCGGCGAGAGCAGGAGTGAGCACACGGAAAGTGGCGCGATGGGCAGCTGCAGGCATGATGGTGGCCACGGCAGGGGCGCAGGGGAGAGGCGTGTGCTGGCCGTGGCTTGGCGGCCGGGCTTTCATCTGCACCTCTACTGCTCTCAACTGCCATGTGAGCTAGCCGCCATGCTCACTCCCCCCCATGCCCACAGCGCCAAGCATGTGCCACGCACCCAGCGGCACCCTCACGGCATGCATCGTGTCGTTTACCCACTCTGCCAAAAGCGCATGCCTGTTTTCTAAGTGTCTGCTATTCGCTTCGAAACCTGCAATGGCATGACAGGTGGCGATGCGTGCATTGTGGATGCTGCTGCGCCCCATGCTGCTGCGGCCCATGCTGTGGCAGCGACAGCACGGCAGCAGCCATCCCTGGCAGCAGCAGCACCTGCGCCGCCTGCCATGCCCCTCTCTTCACCCGCTGCTCTCGCTTCTGGCTGCTCTGGGGCTGCCCTGGAGGGAGAGACGCACGCGCGGAGGGAGGAGGGGGGGGATGGGGAGTTTGGGGATGAGGTTGTGGAGAACACACAGGCGGGCAAGCGACAACGAGGTATGAGAGGGTGCGAGGGGCACATGCATGTGGTGAGATGAATATGTGGCCATGCTCCGTGCGTCATGAGGACCTCATCTCGTCATCCCGCATGCGCTTGCGCTCGTGAGCACGTCCCCCACGATTCACCACCAGCTGCACCAGCGGGATGCAGCACGCGCGCGCCTTGTGTCCTGCTAGTGTGTCCCGCGCCAGTCAACCCTCAACTCAACGGCTCAATGACTTGCCTAGCCCTCCATCTCTCTTCTCTTCTCCTCATCGCCGCTTCACCCCCTCTCTCTCAACCTCTCTCTTTTACTCATTCCCCCCCTGCTGCTCCTAGACCCCACCAGGCGACTCGCCACGGGCGCCAAGCTCTTACCTGCCCCAGCCCCTCTCCCGCCTTCGCCTCTCCACTCCACTGCTGCTGCTGCTGCCTGTGGCGCTGCTGCTGCCGCAGCGGTGGCATCAAGCGGCGGTGCAGCTGCTGTGGCAGGAGTGGCAGGTGGTGCAGTGGGCATGCTTGCACGTTGTGAAGGGCCGCTCATGGGGGGGGGCAGGGACGAGAGGCAGAGAGAGCGCGAGGGGGGTGGGCAGCAGCAGGTGGTGGGAGCGGTGCGGCGCAAGCCGGGGAGAGGCGAGGCGACTCTGAGTGTGAGCTGCAGCGATAAGATGGCCCGGTGGAACGTGCTTGGCGCGCAGGGTGCGGCTCCTCGTGAGGGGGGGGGGGGGGCGAGGCAGGGTAGGAAGTGAGGGGTCAGAGGAAGGTTGCGAGTTGGGGAAGGGGGAGCGCAGTAGTGAAGTATAGCAAGGGAATATGTGGGAGAGGGGGGGGGGGCTATCTGCGTGGTGTCCCATGTGGTACTTCATTTCGGGATTCACTGTGTCCCTCCCTCGTTGCACGCCCCACCACCAGAATTTCTGTTGTGGGTCCCTCCGTCTCTATCTCCCTACTTCCTCTCCCCGGACTCCCGCCCGCGCCCTCCCCTGGCATCAGGTGCAGTGCTGAGCCACCTGCTGTGCGCGCCCCTCTACATCACGTCCATCATCGTCGCTGCCCCCCCCTCTCCACATGTCTCCCCACTTTCCTGCACCATCTGCTCCACTTCCCGCCTCTGCCCCTGCCTGAACGCGGGGCCGAGCGCACAAATGCGAGGAGAGAGCACAAGTGGGGGGGAAGCAGGGCGGCAGGGGGTGGCGTGTGGGGCAGGGGCGGATGGCGCAGTGGGAGCTAGCAGAGAGGGGTGGATAGGTGAAGGAGAGGATGGGGGGGCAGGAGGAGCAGGCGGAAGTGAGAACAGCAGCAGAGGAGGGCAGGAAAGGTGCGCATGTGTGTTGAGTGCGGTGAGGCGAGCTGTGTGCTGGCGACTGCTGGTGCACACACAGCTGTGTGGGGATGGAGAGAGCACGCAGCATGGCTTGTGTGCCGGCTCCTGCAAGGGTGCTTGCACATGCACAGGGGAAGGTGCGAGTGGAGGTGGGCTGGAGGAAAGCTGTGGCGCTGGCGAGGCGTGTGAGTGTGGTTGCGGTGCAGTGAAGAGGAGGCGGAGGGATGGTTGCATCTCGCCACGCTATCATGTGCACCAGGTGATGGGTGATGGGCAATGGGTGATGGGCAATGGATGATGGGCAATGGATGATGGGCAATGGATGATGGGCAATGGACGATGGGCAATGGATGATGGGCAATGGACGATGGGCAATGGATGATGGGCAATGGGTGATGGGCAATGGATGATGGGCAATGGATGATGGGCAATGGATGATGGGCAATGGATGATGGGCAATGGGTGATGGGCAATGGATGATGGGCAATGGATGATGGGCAATGGATGATGGGCAATGGATGATGGGCAATGGGTGATGGGCAATGGATGATGGGCAATGGATGATGGGCAATGGATGATGGGCAATGGATGATGGGCAATGGATGATGGGCAATGGGTGATGGGCAATGGATGATGGGCAATGGATGATGGGCAATGGATGATGGGCAATGGATGATGGGCAATGGATGATGGGCAATGGATGATGGGCAATGGATGATGGGCAATGGATGATGGGCAATGGACGATGGGCAACGGATGATGGGCAATGGATGATGGGCAATGGATGATGGGCAATGGATGATGGGCAATGGGTGATGGGCAATGGATGATGGGCAATGGACGATGGGCAATGGATGATGGGCAATGGACGATGGGCAATGGATGATGGGCGATGGATGATGGGCAATGGATGATGTGCAATGGACGATGGGCAATGGTTGAGGTTGAGGGATGCAAGGCCGGCTTTTAACGAGGCCAGCAGTGTAAAAAGCAGCCTGTCACAACGCTTCGAAATGCATCCGATCTGCATTGCATTCGGTTGCTCATGTTGAAGCCGTTTCTCAACATGCCCCCTTTATCTGTGATGTCCCTCCTCCACCACCCACACCTTGCTTTGCCGTCCCACCTCACCGTCAGCCTGTCATTCTCTTGGCACCGCCACCGCCCTCTCAGTTTGCTCGCCAGCAAGACTCGCTCACTGCTGTTGCTTGCGGGTAACTCAACATGCATGCCATGCAAGGCCATGCCATGCCATGCCATCCGCTCTCGCTCTCCCTTTTTGCGTCTCCCGCTATGCAACATGGCCATTTCTATCACCGCCGGCCAGTCTTCTCACACTGCTGCCCCCAACCCCCCGCCCAGTTTTTCTCTGCTGTGGGACGCGGCATCGGCACAGCACGAGGCGCTGATCGGCACGAGTGGGCGGCGCCAGGGCACTTCCACGCGCGGAGCGCTCTCCCCCTCCACACGCTCCTCCATCTGCCGGTCTGCCCCCACCGCTCCGCCTTGCCTCCCTCCCTCGCCCTCCCATCCATCACACCGTGTCTCGTAGCCCGCACAAACCCTCTCACACCCCGCTGCGCCGCCGTGAATCGCACGTCGTGTGCCATGCTTGGCCTAGTCGTGTGCCATGCTTGGCCTAGTCGTGTGCCATGCTTGGCCTAGTCGTGTGCCATGCTTGGCCTAGTCGTGTGCCATGCTTGGCCTAGTCGTGTGAGCACGTGGCCAGCATTCCACTGGTTTAGCACTGCACAGCACACGCCTTCACTTGAGCACGGCACATGCTGGACCGGTGCTTCATGTGTCACATACCATTTTTCCCTCCCCTCCTGCTCTTCTCTTCACATCTTTCCCCCCACTCGTCACCCGTCCCTGCCCTCCCAGCCCCTCTGCCCTGCCCACCAAGCTCTTGCACAGGTGCCCCTTGTCTTGTCCACGTGCGTGTGTCCATTCCCCCCTGCCCCGCTCACCGCCCTCAGAGCCACGCTGCTGGCGCGCTTCAAGGCGCTCCTGCCATTCTTCCCGCACCACCTCTCCCTGGCCTCTCTACCGTACCTGCACATCAAGGTGAACCCCTGTTGCTGCCGTGTGCTCTGCCCTGTCAATCCCCACCTCATGACTCGCTGTCTCCTCAAATTTTCCTCCCACTCTTGCTGCCCATGATACACCTGTAATTTATACATTCCCTTCCCCCATCTCCCTCCAACTCCCCACCTCCAGAGGGCCGCAGCAGCCTATGAGCATGCCCGTGCAGCGTTTCATGCACCCCCGACTCCGTTTCACGAGTGGATTGAGAAGCCTCCAGCCTGGCAGATGTTCTCGTGAGCTATTGGCTACTAGCATGTGCAGTGGCTTGAGAACACTTACGTTCGCTTGGATATACAATCGTGTTAGCTGTCTCAACATGCTTGCTGCACAAGTTACAACTCATTGTGAACCCTCCCGTGAACATGGATGGTGTGCGGCATCAGAAAGACAGGATTGCTGCTCAAACACAGCAAGCAGCAGAAGCAGCGTGTGCACACACGGCCCTCCTTCCAGCAGTCCCTTGCATGCCCCTCCCTACTCGTGACTCAGTCAACGAGCCCTCTTGTTGCTGCTGGTTTTGCTGCTGCAGAGGGGAGATGCAGAGGGAGTGTAGATGAGAGATGCAGATGAAAAATGATGGAGATCAGAGCAGGTGGGGGGGGGAGGGGGGGGGGGGGAGAAGACATGCGCAGAAGGCGAGAACAGACAACTTCAGGGTCAGCGGAAGGAGTGAATAGGACAAGAGACATGTCAGCAGTGCAGTATCGGGCATTAGCATGAGCATCAGCGCATGCAGCACAAGCCAAATGGCACTAGTTGGACATGCAAGGGCACCACAGCTTGTGTTGCTGCCTTTGATCAATATGACCACATGCCAATGCCAAGCACCGATTTCACGCATACAGCACCTGCCAGCACCACTCACACCTGCAGCACTGGAGAGCAGTGCATCAACTCTAGTTGCGAGAGGCCGCTTCAGCTGCCTGTCCCTGCACTTGGACTGCCCATGCCTTACCTCGCACCATCTTTGCGCTTCTTCCCCTCTCCCTCCCCCTCCGTGCTGCCTTCTCCCCTCACATCCTTCGTTGTGCCCCATCCAGCATCAGCGCCCTTGAGGGGAGGCAAGAGGCGAATGGAAAGCAGAAACAGCACTATGTGTCTGGGCATTTGGGCGCACACACATACTTGAGCCCGAGCACCTCTGCATGCAAATGTGCACATTCGTGCGCCCATGCGTGAGTATGCATCGGTCCACAAAGGCACAGTGCACAGCCCACACGTCCTCATGAGAGGAAGAGACCGCTGCACGAGGGGAAGAAGGAAAGATGTCTAGAGTTTGGAAGACGAGGTTCAAAACGCAGGCATAAGGAACAGCACGTGGGCAGCACCCGTGGCCATCCCCTGCCCATCACTCCCAGCGACAATCATCACAGCCCTTATCCCACCTGTGCTCCTGTCATGTCTTTTCTCTTCCCCTCTTGTTGCTCCACCTTCCCCTCTGCTTCTTCCCCACATCCCACCGTCCCCTGCGTCTCCTTGCCACCGCCTCCCTGCTCGCCTCCCAGATCCACACGGCCACCGTCATCATGAGCACCCTCCCCGCCCTCCTCCCCTTCCATTTCCTGCACATCGTCGTCTTCCTCCTCCTCTCCGCTCTCTACCTTGTTCCCCTCTTCCTCCTCTCCCACCTCCTTCTGCTCCGCCTCTCCCCCCCCCCCTGCTCCCCCGCGCTGCCACTCCCCCCCCACACCTCCTTGCTCACGTCGAAGTCTGCATCTTCCTCCTCCTTCCCACCAGCAGCGGGCGAGGGGGGCAGGGGGGCAGGGGGGCAGGGGGGGGAAAACGGGGAGGGAGAGGTGGGTGGGAGTGGGAGGGAGGGAGGGGAAGGGGAGAAGGGAAGAAGGAGGGTGGCGACGATATGCGACAAGATGGAGACGAACGTGGGGGATAGCCGGAGAATCAGGGTAAGCAGGCACATATGCTGGAACAGGGGCAATATATAGAGAGGAATACACAGAGGAAAACAGGAAAGGAATAAAAGGGAGTTAGCAGTGTGAATGGATAAATTCGACAAAGAAGGTGGAGAGCGCACGGATGGTGGAGGGGAGGGGACAAAGTAAAAGAAGAGGAGGGGTGGGGGGCCAGCACCTCTTGGAACAAGCTCTGCTCCCAAAAAGCCTTGTCTCGCTCCACATCCTCCTCCGCTCGCTTGCTACTCCTGCCATGCCATGCCGCACAATACGCATGCGCACTCACACCAAGCAACCAGATCAAGAGCGAAGAGTCTCTGAGCCATAGCAACCAACGAAGCACTATCCTCGTTCACTTCACCTCGTCCTTGCTGCCCTTTGTTCTCCCCAAAAAGGGAAAGCATGAGGGCGAAAAGGGAGGGGGCCACGGGGGAAAGTAAGTGGATGAGAATAGCTCACTCATGGAGATGCAGCCTCCCCCGGATAGCACCCTCGGAAGGGGGAGGGGGGATGGGGCAGGCGGATGGATTGTGGGGGTAAGAGAGGGGTGGAGAGGGAAAGAGAACCCACAACTCCCCCTTCCCCTTCCCTCCCTCTCCCTAGTACCACCCGCGTCGACCGCCGCACGCACCACTTCCCCCGCGTGGATCGCGCTGGCAGCCGCCTCGCCATGGGCTCCTCCGCCATGGGCTCCCCCCCGCCCTCCGCCCGATCAAAGGGGTGATCCGCGCAAGACAGGAGCGAACACGCGGCGAGAGAGCGGGGGAGAGAGAGCGGAACACAGGAGGGAATTGAGTAGAATGTGTCCGTTCATGTGACGATCAGGGTGCTGTGTCGTCTCCTGATCGGCGGGCGCTGAGGCTTTTGCTCTCTGCTAGTGGAAGGTTTGCCAACCCTGGCGTCTGATCTTGCTGATGAGGCTTCGAGTTTTCTAGAAGAGGCTCGATGGATGGTCTTTACATGGGACTTGGGTGTTTGGGACGTTTCGGAGAGCAGTCGTAAAACGCGAACATGCGGCGCGAGCGGGAAGAATGGGATTGGAAGAAAGGGATCGGCCAAATCAGTAGTGAGGGAGGCGATATCCGATACAGCAATATCCTCAATCTCTATCTGTGGAACCTATTACAAAACGTAACACTGAATTCACTCATCCACAAAACATACAAGTTCATAGCAGACATTCAATGACAACATATACTTCCGCATTTTCAACCAGAATCCGTAGCCGATCCTTCATATTCTGAGGGCTTAACTGTAAACTCACGGATTTTGGTATGGAACCGCGATGACCAATTATGCAATTAAGCCCGTTCTGTATGTTGAATTATATATATATATATATATATATATATATATATATATATATATATAATTGTAGGTTTGGTAGGTCTTGCTGGATCCTACTGTAGAGGGTACAATTCCCTCCTTGTATCCCTCTCTCTTCTAATCTCATTCTCTTCTCTCTCGACATTCTCTCCTAGTACCTAAACCTCTCGCCATTCATGGCTTCTCCCCCTAGATCATTCTAATATTCTAACATGGTTTCAGAGCCGGAGGTCCGCCCTGCTGAGCCGCCTCCTCACGCTTCCGCCGCGTACCCCCCCTTCTCGTTACTTCCGCGCCGCCGTGGCGGCCGTATCGTGCTGCCATGGCGGCTTTGTCGCGCTGCCGTGGCAGCCTCGACGTTGCGGCTTCGTTGTGCCGCCGTGCCGCCGTCGTCGCGTCAGCGAACGGGCGGCAGTGGGCCGCGCACTGGTTTAGGCACCAGGCAGCAAGCCCACACTCCAGCTCGCCGCGCCTCCCCAGCTCGTCGTGTCGGACCCTGCTCGCCGCGTCGGACCCAGCTCGCCAAGTCGGTCCCAGCGGACCCAGCTCGTCGCGTCGGTCCCAGCTCGCCACGCCAGCTGGCTCCGCCCCGCCGCAGCTCAAGAAGGCCTAGCGCCTTCCTTCCCTGCAGTCACCTTTGCTGCAGGGTATGGGGGTGCTAGGCTTAGAGGTGTTGCATGTGGGGTGGGCTTGTGACCACCAAGCCTAGGGGGTGTGTTAAATTATATTATATATATATAAATAATTGTAGGCTTGGTAGGTCTTGCCAGATCCTACTGTAGAGGATACAACTCCCTCCTATCCCTCTCTCTTCTAATCTCATTCTCTTCTCTCTCGACATTCTCTCCTAGCACCTAAACCTTTCGCCATTCATGGCTTCTCCCCCTAGATCATTCTAGTAATCTAACACTGTATGCAACCGGGCTGCCCTGGATGCAACCAAGCCCTCATGGAATGCAACAAAACCTCCTGGCATAAATAGATGGAGAATATCCTCATAAGCTACAAGGCCTTAGAAGAAATGCATATCAAGGTAGGCCAACAGATATGACACACTTACTTTTCGACCCATGCGTACTTGAGCAAAGGCTGACTAGATGACAATACGAGTACATGGCTGACGTTTCAGAAAAAGGCACTCTGTGTTTTTTTAGTTTGAAGGGCCTTCATCCAAAATTTCGGTAGTATGAAACGCCAAAATCCAGAACAGAGCTAGTCTGATTTTCTCAGGGTCCAGCGAGTACAATCCGAGTCAAGAACCGAGACCAAACTTTGCGAAACTTTTAAGGCGCGTCCATACGTGACACAATGCCATGTAGCTTCGGGTCACAGTTGTGTTGACTGGATAATTTGACAAGAACAAAACCCATAAATGACACGATTCCTGACAACGTGTTTTGCTGGAACACGCTTTCAACCGATATCGAAATTTGGGAAACAGGGCGCTCATGGCGGGGGCACGGGGAGGTCTGCCAAAAATCCTAGCCGGGCAGGCGAGGAATGGCTCATGTGAGGATACTGTAGCTGGTTTCAGAAATTTCAGCTGGGCTTGGTTTGCGTGGACGAAATTTTAAGGGTCGTGGGTGATGTGGAAGGGGGGTGTCTGTCAATTATGACTTAGCAAAACAAAATTGGGTTGTTCGAGGTGTTAGGGAGACTGTGTCTGACAACAAGACTTAGCCAGAAATTTCGATGAGTTGTGGGGTGTGTGGGGGGTGTCTCTAGCGTTCACGGACTTAGCCAAAACAAGATCGATGGGTTGTGGGGTGTATGGCGGATGTATCTGGTGTCTGGGGACTTCGCCGAAAATTTCGATGGGTTGTGGGGTGTGTGAGGGATTTCTCTAGTGTTCGGTGACTTAGCCAAAAATTTCGAGGTCACAGGTTGGCTGTAGGTACATCTGTTTCAGGGTCTGTACGCGCTGTGCTATGGAAACTCAGTACTGGGTTAACAACAAGTCTGATTTTTTAAGGATCCCTAAAATCTTACTCTGAAGTGATCAGGATTGGGAAAATGGGTAATCTGGAAATCCTGGTTTGGCCAAAAACAGGGTCTGAAATTTCAGACTAATCAGGCTAAATCGTCTGATAACGTCAGGCCTGCACGAGTAACATTTTCATGGAAAATGCTTTCTCAAGCCCATTCTTTTGGCAGAGATGGCCGGAGAATAGTCTCATGAGCTACAATGCATTTGGAGAAAACGCATTCACTATATCAAGGTAGGGTAATAAATATGACACATTCACTATTGTGCCCATGGATACTTGAGCGAAGGCAGACCATATTGTTATAAGAGTGACATTTTCATGGAAAATGCTTTCTCAAGCCCATGTTTTTTGCATAGGTGGCTGGAGAATAGTCTCATGAGCTACAAAGCGTTTGGTGAGAATGCATATCAAGGTAAATCAACAAATATGACACATTCACTATTGGACCCATGTGTACTTGAGCGAAGGCTAACCATATGGCTACAAGAGTGACATTTTTATGGAAAATGCTTTCTCAAGCCCATTATTTTGGCGTAGATGGCTGGATAATCATCTCATCAGCTACGGGACCTTTGAAGAAATTACATATAAAGATAGGGCAACACATAGGACACATTCACTATGTAACCCTTGCGTACTTGAACGAAGGCTGGACATATGGCAACATGAGTGACATTTTTATGGAAAATGATTTCTTAAGCCATTCATATAGCATACATATCAATAGAATAGTCTATTGAGCTACAGGGCCTTTGGAGAAATCGCATATCAAGGTAGGGCAACAGATATCACACATTCACTTTCGGACCCATGCATGCTTGAGCGAAGGCGGACCAGATGCCAATGTGAGTGACATTTTTATGGAACTTCTTCTCAAGCCAATTCTTATAGCCTAGATAGCTTGAGAATAGCCTAATGAACTACAAGGCCTTTGGAGAGATCCCATATCAAGGTAGGGCAATAGATATGATACATGCGCTTTCACACCTATGCATATTTGAGCGAAAGCTGACCAGATGGCAACGTCAGTAACATTTTCATGGAATCTGTCTTCTCATTACCGTTATTTTGGCAAAGAACGCTGGAAAATGGTATCATGGGCTACATGGCCGTTGCCGAAATCACATACCAAAGAAGGGCAAGAGCATTAAGAGTACTGCTCAGATCCAAATTCCAAATGGTTGGGAAGCTATGGTATGAGTACCTTTGCCCCACGTCCAAGCACTGCATGTTGTCCATGAGGTAACAAGTTGAGTTATTTTCAAGTAGTGACCATCACCTAAGCCTCTTTTTTTTTTTTTTTTTTTTTTTTTTTTTCCACTCATAGTACGTTAAGAGGCTCAAGAGCATTAAGACTATTGCTCAGATCAAATTCCAAGTTGATGGAAGCTATGGGATAGGTACTTTTACCCCGTGTCCAAGCGCTTGCGCATTGTTCCATAAGATAACAAGTTGATTTATTTCCAAGTAGTGAGCATCATATAAGCTCTTATTTTTTTCCACCCATAACATGTTAAGAGGCTCAAGAGCATTAAGACTTCTGCTCAGACCCAAATTCCAAGTTTGTGGGAAGCTATCGCAAATGTACTTTTGCCCCATGTCGAAGCGCTTGGGCGTTGTTCCATGACGCAACAAGTTAAGTTATTTCCAAGTAGCGGGCATCTCCTAAGCTCTTTGTTTTGTACCCAAAGTATGTTTAGAGGCTCAAGAGTATTAAGACTACTGCTCAGATTTGAATTCCAAGTCGTTGGGAGGCTTTGGCGTAGGTACTTTTGCCCCATGTCCAAGCGCTTGGGCGTTGTTCGATGAGGTAACAAGTTGAGTTATTTCGAAGTAGTGAGCATCACCGAAGCTCTTTCTTTTTGCGCCAAGAGTATGTTTAAAGTCTCAATAGCATTGGAACTACTGCTCAGATCCGAATTCCAAGTCGTTGGGAAGCTATGGCATAAGTACTTTTGCCACATGTCCAAGCGCTTGGCCGTTGTTCTATGAGGTAACAAGTTGAGTGATTTCCATGTAGCGGGCATCTCCTAAGCTCATATTTTTTGCACCCATAGTACGTTTAGAGGCTCAAGAGCATAAGAATAATTCAAATTCCAAGTCATTGGGAGGCTATGGCATAGGTACTTTTGCCCCATATCCGAGCGCTTGGGCATTGTTCCATGAGGCAACAAGTTGAGTTATTTCCAATTAGTGAGCATCACCGAAGCCTTCACAACATGGCTCCCCATCGCCGAACGAGAATCAGGACTCAAACTCAAGAGCTTCCAGTCAGACGGTGCACTGGAATACCAGTCACAACGCTTCAGGACCTATCTGGCGGAAAGGGGAATCAGACGCCTGGTGTCCCTGCCCTATGCTCACCAACAACAGGGGGTAGCAGAACGCATGAATCGGACCTTGCAGACGACGATGCGAAAACTGCTTCAGGGGATGCGACTGCCAACCACACTGTGGCCAGACGCGATGACACATGCTGTTCACCTGCACAACCTGCTGTCCTCGTCATCACTTCCCAACAACGCATCACCGCACCTGTTGTGGACAAGAAAAAGGGGCAGCACAAAATTACTCAGAGTCTTTGGCTGCATGGTACAGTACAGACCCCACACAGCCCGAGCAGGACGCTTCACACAACGAGCTCGGTGGGGACTCCACCTCGGCATCGCGAAACATTTTTACGCGTGGAAAATTCTCGACATACAAGACA